ATATAGGCGATGAATAGGTTCATGATTGTGAACACAGTGATGGTTTCATGATGCATACGTGTGTCAAAGCTTATAGAATTCTGTAGTTTAAATATGTGCAATTTATTGGACATCAATTATGCATCAATAAAACCATCAAAAAATTTTAAAAAACAAAAGCCAATCTAAAACCAGATAAATGCCAATATTTCATATCGGGAAGTGAGGGAAAAAATGAAGCAAAAGGAGTAAAGTCCCTGTCAACTAGGAAATAGGACTGAAACGGGGCCTGTAGAAAATGATCAGGTAAAGAGAAAACACGCTCAGCACCACGGTTTGCTAGTCGCCCTGTGATCTGCCCTTGGCCACTTTAAGTCCAGCCCTCAGAATGTCAAGGACAGCAGCTGGCCCCCCAACACCCTTGATAGTCCCCACATTTGCTCTTGGGCAGGTCACTGCCCTTGGGACATGTCGTCACTGTCTTGCACTGAGCCACCCCAAATGAATTGTTAGGAGCTTTTGTCCTATTTCCTTCCACATGTGGTGAAAGATATTATCAATAATTTAAAAGTCTTATTACCAGATGACCATAATGGTATGGTGCTACCTAAAGATGAATTTGTGCTGTATTTTATCAGATGTCTCACTTTCTGTTAAAAAAAAAAAATCACACTACGCTGATCACAATTTCAGTACATGATGTAATCATATTCCTTTGCCCTTTGCTAGGTTCTGAGGCAAATGTTAGAATAAATCAGGACAAGTTTTGAAAATTAGGAAGTTTTTAATGACTTCCTATTGGTGAGTCTACAGAGTCTACAACCCTATCATTGCTGAGTACCTTGTACAATGCCTGATTCACATACTTTGAGGCAGTAGCAGAACAAATATTGGTTGAGAATCCTATTTAGTGTGAACTATCAGTCTACCACTAGATGAGATGGCATGGGAAAGCTGGTTTGGTCGGTGTGGTACAAACATTCACCTGGAAATTTAAGGATGCTGAAAGTTTGCAAGCAGAGAGGCAGAAATGTGCAGTAGTTACTAGTGTAAACACCTCCTAATCTGCTTACATTCAATGCTCATCTCTCCCATCTACTCTCCACGTGACCTCGGGCAAGGTCATAGCCACTCCAAGCCTCAGTTTCCTCACCTGTAAAAATAGTAACAGTGCCTACCTAAGAGGGTTAAGAAGAGTATCAAGTGGGATACAAGTAGGTAAAGAACCTAGCACGTATACCTACTTGATGTTTGTATATAAAAAAAAAAAAGCACCTAGCACAAAGCCTGGAGGTCAAAAAAAAAAAATGTTGGTGGTTGTTGTTATAAACACTGTTATTAATAAAGCAACAACAACTTGCCTTCCTCCAGTTCCCCAAAGGGATAGTCACATTTAATATTATTACGGGTCCCACAAACAGAACTAAAACCTGTGGGTGCTCAGCAGTTCCTTTTGTTTAATTGAAGCAGCCGTGAAATGTTTTCAAGGGCTCCATTTAAGTGTTGGTAAATTTTCTTTTTTCAAAAAGGAACTACTCTAAAATGGAGGCCTTTCATTGGTAGCCACGATGCAGCAAAACCCACCAAAATTCAATTACCTCGTGATGGAGTCAGGCCGCCCAAGAAGAGAATTAGGCATTTGAAATCAACAGATTGGATTTGGTGCCTTTTTGCAGTCTCAGCAGTTGCTCCCTGACTAGTTCCTCACAAGATCAGAGGTGGCTTTGTCATCTTCCCATCTTCCAGATTCCGCAGGCTGACATGTTCTGTCTGCATAAAAGTTTTATTTTCCCATGTTTACGTTCTGAATGAATATTTGCTTCCAAAGTTATTACAGCTGCAAAACATATGCTGAGTATAAACTCTTCTCCCCCAACATATAAAATATATATGCATTCATGCATATATATGAAACTGCTGCTTAAAGAATCTTTCTATATATAGGTGTGGGGGGGGTTAGTAATGTATAGCACTCAAAAATGCTTAGTTACATAAATTATGTTCACACTATTTTGAGCTGCCGTGCTCTTTTTTTAATGAAATATCCCCCACCCATTCCACAGATTAGGCACTAATTCAGAACTTCATTTCCTTTTCCCTTCTCTCTCCTGATTTTACCCAAATATGGCTGGTGGGCTAAACACCCAGCTGTAGATCATTGGTATTAATAAACACAGCAGATTTTTCTTTTCTTTTTTTAGGCACTTTTTATTTTCAAAAAAAAAATTATCTTTAATATATAAACATCTCATTCTTTCAAAAAAATTCTACAACTATACAGCTGTTTGCTCCATTATTTCACAGCAGATTTTTTGACTAAAAATTCAACACAGTGAATTCTATTTTTTTTTTTTGCCTTGTAAAGATAAGCACAATTAAAAAATCCTGTAAGTCAACATAATAAGTTAGCAATGGGGGAAATAATGCTGCTCAGCTGATTGCATCAAAGAAATCAATTATTTTATTCTCTCCCTCCTTCCTGTCTCCACCACACACAAAGATTGCAGACCCAGCACATGTGTTAGCTGAGGAGACTGGCATGTTGGCGACATGCTGATCTTTGGTGCATGCTGGTACCTGGACAGTGAGCATGCATGTCTCCAAATACCTGTGGCAAGTGACGTGTTTTGTTTTACATGCTGTTTATCCTAAGAAAATCTTTCCATCTTTGTCTTAGGATAAAGACGTAAATCTATAACCTGGCTGACAAGGCCCCACACTGGGGGCTGCTCGACAACTTCTCCACCTCATCCTACACCACCATGCCCTTTCCTGCCATCTTCCAGTTCCCCAAGCCACGTTCTGTCCCCTGTGTGTTATGCCCCCTGCCTATGCTGGAACTTGGTACCTGCTCTTTCCTATCTATCTTCTAACAACTCTATTGAGTTACAATTCACATATATTCATCCACTTAAAATGTATAATTTGATGGTTTTGACCATATTCACAGAGTTGTACATCCATCACTACCATCAATTTTAGAACGCTGTCACTATCTCAAAAAGAAACCCTACACCATTTAGCCATCATCCCCAATTCTCCCAATCTATCTCCCCAGCCCTAGGAAAATACCAACCTATATCTTGTCTCCGAGATTTGCCTATTTCTGACCAGTTCATATAAATGGAATCATATAATGTGTGGTCTTTTATGACCAGCTTATTTCACTTAATGTTTTCAAAGCTTATCCACGTCATACATTTATCAGTACTTCATTCATTTTTATTGACGAATAATATTCTGTTATATGGATACACTACATTTAATTTTATCCACTCATCAGTTAATAGACATTTGGGTTACTTCTATTTTTTATCTACTATGAATAATATTGCTATGAACATTCTTGTAAAATTTTGTGTAGATAAATGTTATTTCTCTTGGGTATGTATCTAGGGGTGGAATTGTTGGATCATATGATAACTCTACGGAAAAAGTACTCGCCCTAGTTAATGTCATTATTTAACATAAACAGGCCAATTTCAAAGTTTAAAAAACAATCAGGTTCTGAAGTTGACAGAAATTTAAATGCCTGGCCCAACATTTACTATGTGGCCTGGAACAAATTAGTTTCCCCATACGCTGAAGCGGGTGGAAGAATAAAGGGCCTACATTAGAGGGCTTGGTGTAGGCACTAAATTAATTAATGCCTACAGAACACAATATTTGGCACATAAGAAATGACCCACTGGGTTAGTTGCTATGATTATCTTATTATAATCATTATTATCTAAATTGGAAGAAGATGTGCACAACAAATCTGTGTTAAAGGGACCAAGTTTTGCTTAGTAAGAAAAATGCTTCCTAATCATAAGCTGGAATTTACCAGGTTCAACGATGGCTTTCTTACCATTGTTACTTTTATAGATAATTTTCCAAATGGCACTTACGGTCATGCATAAGCCTCAGTCATGTTTATTTTCAAAGGCCTCCCTAATAGTTATTTCTGAAGAAGAATTTTGGCTCCTATATTACATTACAGTTCACCACTTAGTTCTACTTCACACCACAAACTACTATATTGGATATAACACATCTTCCTTAGGTCATTTACTGAGCAGAAAGTATTGCCCAAACATCTTATTTGTCTCTATCAAGTAATATATTGAGCCTGGATGCTATCCTGACAGAACTCACCAAATAGAAGTTATAAAAGTTCAATAGAATTAGGATCTATTGGTCATTTTACAGAATTGAGAATGCACATTCATTTATCCAAGTAATATGTACCGAGTGCCTGAAAATGTCAGGCATTTGGGACACAGAGAAGAAGAAAACTAAGATTCCCTCCATCGTGGCAATACATTATTCACAGCTAAGAGGGCAGGACAAGCAATCGAATTCATTATCAAGATAGCTCTACCTGGCAATGGGTGCTATAAATGACATTAAACAAGGTGATGTGACAGAGAATGTCTAAGGAAGGAGCTACTTTATTTAGACCAAGGCAGGAACAGGCACTCCCAGCAGATGTTTGAGCTGGCACCTGAATTTCAAGGAGGCAGCCATGGGAAATGTCATGGGGCAGAGGGATTTAGGAAAAGGGACAGTCTATGACAAGACCCCAAGACAGTTCTGTGTTTGGCGTAACTGAGAAACAGACAGCAGGCCGATGTGGTTGGAACAGGATGCTGGGAAACAGAGTAGAAGGGAAAGAGGCTGAACACACAGCTAGGGAGTCGTGCCTTGTGGGCCGTGTTAAAGAGAAAAGGCACAGGAGACTTTAAGCAGGGGAATGTCGTAGCCTAATTTGTCATCATTTCAGGTTCCGTTTTCCCTCCTCCTCCCCTCTCTCCAGGGTGACTAGCTATTATGATAACCAGCTGAATGATGTTTCGCGGCAATATTTATGTCCATGTTTCTAACTATAATCTCTGTAAATTCCTTAATGAATTTGTCGCATAGGCGTGTCATAAAACTCCCAAGGCACATCTCATTTTGCTTTGGAAGATGTAGACGCCAGCCATCTATTTGTGTCTCCATGGCATTTAAAGAATGTCTCCTTAAATCTGGCAATTTAGGTTGCACCAGGTGACGTTTGAGGTGCCTACCTGCGAGGGAAAGGAGCGGCAGAAGCTGGCATTGATTGGTGACTCCTCGTCCTCGGCAGAGTTCTTCGTCACCGTGGCTGTCTTCGCCTTCCTCTACTCTTTGGCCGCCACTGTCGTTTACATCTTCTTCCAGAACAAGTACCGGGAAAACAACAGAGGCCCACTCATTGTAAGTGCTTTTCTTCTTGAAATGACTTTTTCTGTCCCTTCTAATTTCTTTCACTAACGCTTGAAGGACTTGGAGCTATCTGAGCCTTCAGGGCAGGTATTTGAAAGGAAATCGCATTCTTTTTTATCCAGATCTCTTGGATAGACAACACACACGTGATGGCTGTCAGCCTCTTGTGCTCCTGGGCTAGGAAAGGGTCATAGGACTAGCTAGAAACCTCTCTGAAATAAATGGCTGGACATCTCATGAGATCAAGGAGAGAGTATTGAGGCTTGCTGCAGATTTATTTATAATTGCAGCATTATGAAGTGAGTCAACCATTTCCTCACTGGTTATTTAGACAGTGTGACTTGTGCTTATTTGGAATGTGTTATTCTCTTAGTATGTGATAGAACGGGCATAAAACTGTTAAGTTTGAAATGGAGTTCTTCATCTCTGGATCTCTCTTTCCACTACCAACCCCAGCTCCAACCTCACTTTCTGTTGCCTTATATAATTGTCCGAGGACTCATATGAGTGGAATCAATATAGCCCAACATTTCCAAACATGGGCACATATAGACCTAGGGGGACACAAAAAATCTCAGAGGGGTACCTGGGCATGGGTAATTTTAAGGAAATAAACTTTTAAATTAAATTAAATGTTCTTAGCCTTCACATGCATATTTGCCTAAAATCTATCTTCCTGAGAATCCCCTGCATGGCCAAATATTTTGCTGTCTTGTTTCTTAATCACCTACTCCCATTTCACAAAAGAAATGCATCCTTCTTTGCCAATCCAAATCTTACCACATAGTGGTAGAATACAAAACATTTGAGGCACTAACAAAAGGGGCCATTTGAAATACTGGTGTTGACAAAAGTGAGTGATTCTGATGCCTGGGTAATGTATGCTTTCAGATATAAGGGGGTTTCCAAGTCTTTGCTTTCAATAAAATTAAAAGCCCTAATCTACTCATCATCAGTTGATATAGCATCAAAAATAAATTTTTTTATGAAAGATTACCATGTGATCTCAGACATATAACTCAGAAAGAATTAAATTAATGACATTGCTATAATACAAGTCCATCTATTCTCATCTGCTCATTTATGCAAGCAAGATTTCTCAGCTTTTACATCCATAAGATGAAGAATGGAAATAAAATTCATGCTGAATCATGTCCCATTCTATAAATAATTAATATTTATCAAAAGCATATTAAAAATAGAGCGAGAGAGCTATGGTCTGAATATGGTTTTTCCCCACCAAAGGTCATGTTGAGGCTTGGTCCCTGATGTGGCAGAGTTAGGAAGCAGTGACTTTAAGAGGTGATTAATGTCTCTCTTAAGAGACTGGATTACTTCTTGGGAGAGTGGGTTGTTATGAAGTCGGTCAGCATCTTTTCCCGTCTCTTTCCCCACCTGCCTATTTCTTCTTCCATTTTTCCATCGTGATTGGACACAGCACAGGGCCTTCACCATAAGTGCCAGTTGTGGCCACCCAACCTTGAACTTCCCCTCCTGCAGAACCAGGAGCTAAATAACCTCTTTCCTTTACAAACTACTCAGTCTCAGGTATCCTGCCACAGCAACACAAAATGAACTAAAACAGCCCATCCATCCAAGAATCATAAATTTTCAATAATATTTTTACTTTTTAAATTTAATAATCACTTTTTAAATGTATAATACATTTATGTTATTGTTTTGGACAATTGTGTATTAATAATACTTGTAATGAGCACTCAACCCCAAAGAAATTTAATACTTAAAGGCTTAGAGTCACAAGTAATTAAATATAATTTAAATTTTTGTACATATTTTTATTGCTAAGAAATATAATAGGGTAATCAATAAAATGCTTTTCTCCAAAATAGTTTACATTAGGCTATAACCCTGTAAAGAAAGTATAATGAAAATACAAGTTCAAAGAGAACAAAAGGAAGATGTAAAATTTCCAACTGTTAAAGAAGACTTGTTAATTAAATTTTTAATGGATGATAGAGAATATCAAGTAACTATTCCATCGGATACATTTAAAATTGATATAATAGTTATAGCTTTAAATAGCAATACTTACAATAAGCCAGAAATTACATTCTTTGAAACTATTTGCAATTTTAATAAAAACAAAATTAGATGTCAACTTTATGCAAGTAGAAACATAGTTTTTAAAATTCTTTTAGGGAGTATGGGAATAAAATTAAATTTTCAAATCCCTCTTTTAATCTATATATTATGGAACCAGAACCTTAAAATAAACAAATTGTGAAGGGTAACTGGGAGAAATACCTGTTTTTAGAATTTTGTTAAGTTTGAAGGGACTAGAAAAAGTTCAGATTTGCAACACTTAAAAATGTTAACTTAGGAAAAGAAGAGCAATGAAGCAGAATTTAAACCTTCGTGCAGATGTCCTTTTTTTCCATCTCAAATTGGAACTAATAGTCTTAATGGTTTTAAAATATCTTTAACTGAGTCAACTAACTTTGGCTCGTCCCTCGTATTACATACAGATAGGTACGCAAAAGAGATTGCTACGCAAATACCATAAAACCAACATGCATACGTAAATCCCTAGGTACATGTAGACATTCTAAACTTCTAAAGTCCTAGGAAATATCCTGACTTCCAGGCAGAAGAAATTGATGCAGCTAGCTTGCCCATAAAGTGGGGGGAAAATCTATTTGATTATATAAAACAACATTCTACTCTTATGAAATCATCCTGTGAAGGTGCGCTACTTCATCTCTGTGTAAATAGTCTTTCCCAGCAAGCAGGATATAATGAAATCCTGAGTTGTGTAATACGGTGGATAGGTTTCGTTTTATTACATTGTTGGGGTTAGGGCAGGGAGCAGGGAGAGAGAGAATTCTAGTAATAATAAAGGAAAGACTCCTAGATGAAACTTCTGTGATATTAAAAAACTTAAGTGCTCATTACTTAGCAGAAAAAAAAGTTAACTTAAAAATGGGCCTGAGTCATAGGAGTCACAAAATCAGACTGCATATGGATCAGTAGGATGTCACTGCAGCTGGTTGCAAACAGCAAAGCTTATCAATTCAAATCCTACCACCCTAAGGCTGTGATTCGGGAAGTGAGGCTGTGCTATTTTACCATTTGTGAAGAGCAGGTTTAAGCAAATTCATGGTATGAGCAAGATCTCCAGAGGGTGGTTCATATTTAGGAAAACTTTTACATATTAGAAAAGCATTTGTTCAGATGTTAACAATAATCGTGCATGTTTTTAATCAATCCTACTTATTCAAAAAGATGGCTACTGATCATTACTTGGGCAATTTTGTTTCGGTTGTCATCCATTCTTTGTTGTTGTTGTTTTGTTTTTAACCAAACACATGCTTTTCTGTTTTAATTCTGTAATTTGGGTCTCTTCCAACTCAAACTTTTAATCTGAAACAAAAATGTTACTGTATTATGCATACAGGAGCTAATTCAAGCAGTTTTAAGAAGTCAGGTGTCCTTCTAGGCTAATTCACACGCAAAAATTTAACAAACTCCCATCCTGATTTATGGTCTCCTAGGACATGACATCATACATCACGCACAAATAAGATCAACATGTAGGGAAGGGACAAGAAAGATAATGGTGATGATAATAACAATAGCATTAACTGATATTGATTGGGTTTTTACTATGTGTTGAGCCTATTTAATACTCACAACAACCCTAGATTATACTGTGAGTCACATTTTCAGATGATGAAAGGGAAGCTTGGAGAGGTTACCAGCTATCCCAGGTCACATTACTAACAGGCAGAGGGTGTAGAGTTTGGATCCAAATCCAGAACCCAAATTCATAACCACCATTTAGGAGGCCCCAAGATCCTGTTAGATAATATACTATGGAAGTTAGTGGGGTGGAAGTAGGTAAGACAAATTGGTTTATCACCATGGACAGCTCCTGTATCGTGTTACTCTGGAAATATATAAACTGCACCCAGTAACCCCCCAGGCTCTTCTGGTCATTTGACTGTCACAGAGGGTTTTTATTTGCCTCCAGAATCCATGTGGGATTTTGGGATGATTGCCAAGTAGCAATGGTGCTAGAACTACTGGAGAGTTCTGCTTGCAATGCCATTTATCTCTCTAGCACATAGAAGACACCAATGAGGGAAAACAGGCTTTAAAGGAGGCCAGGATCAATGTGTGTTATAAATCAGAGATTACCCGGACTGATTCTCATATGTTCACAAGCAGTTGTGAGCAGTTTCAGGCAGACTGGGGCCAAGTTGATCAATGGCTATTTCTAAAAATATTTTTTCTACTGAATGTGTGTGACAAGATTACCTACCTTTAAGGAAAAAATGAGAATCTGAATGTCTTTAGAAGTGACATAATTGTTAATGATGCTGAATGACATAAGAGTGAGAAAATTGGGCCAAAGAAATCAGCCAGGTACCGTATGCCACCACAGTTTATGTGCCTTCTTGTACAGAAAAGTACGTATTAGTTCTCCGAAAGCAGAAACGGCCACCTGAATGGTACGTGATTGCAGAACTGAAATGTCACGTCCGTTTATATCATTTTGTCATGTTCCTTAGAGTGTGGATTTAAAGCCAATCTCCTGCCTAGATTTCTGTGACAGAATGTTCGGAGCCATTTTAAGATCTCAGGTCAAAATGTGAGGCTTTAGGTTTTTTTCACATTAATATAAAGTAGGTTTTAAAATGTAACTCACCTTACAAGGCTGACAGAATGCTCTAAGAATGAGTATCTAATAAACACCATCCCATGTTCAGTGAATATTGCAAGAGTTTGGCCTAAAGCAACTACTCGAGGAATTAGGGAGAATCCCTATATCCATCTTTAGATGGAAACAAAAGGGGTTTCTTCTCCCATGCTATCGTAAGGGAGGAAAGCAGGCCCGGCTGGTGGCTCACACCTGTAATCCCAGCACTCTGGGGGGCCGAGGCGGGTGGATCGTTTGAGCTCAGGAGATTGAGACCAGCCTGAGCAAGAGCGAGACCCCGTCTATACTAAAAATAGAAAGAAATTAGCTG